TTTCCATCAATTAATAAATGGTTCAGATATACTATTCTGGGTTCCTGGGGGTACTAAAATGAATATGAAGTCCTTGCCCTTAAGAGGTTCAATTTAATGTGTGTGGAAGACATATAAACAGTAGTTTGATGCTGTAGTTTGACAAGAGCTCTAATAGAAATGTGTACACCTAACTGGACTAATTTCTAAGAATGTGGCTATGTTTTTCCAAAAGTCCCACTCCAGGTTGTTTATAGCTTGAAAACCCACAGCTTTCTGTCCTTGGTTTAGAGCTAACATAAAGAGTAGAAAATAACTCTTGACTAGTAGTCAGAACATTCACATTTAAATTATGGCTCTATCACTCTATCTTTTCTAGTGTACATCTCAGAAACTTTATATAATTCATTGGATTCTAGGATTTTGGACTAGTTTCACAATTAGTGTCATTTCCTCAGTTGCCAGTTGGGGGTGATAGCTATCTCACAGGCTGTCATGAAAACCAGACTATAAAAAACGTGATTCATGACCTTCAGATGGAAAGATCCTAGCTTATGCGTTAATATTAAACACCAGTGGAATGATGTAGCTCAGGCAGTTTACACGTTCATGATTCGGCTGCTGGAAAGACGTGCTGCTGGAGGTGCTGGGTGTTTGACAGAGGATGGAGAGATGCGTGATACCCACGGCTTTCCGAGCACAGCAAAGACAGTGGAAGGTGCTAACGTAAGGGGTGTTTGGGAAATGGAGAAGGAAGAATGAGAGCTGGCTGGAACAGAAAAGAGTATTAAAAGCAGGTCTGTATACAGATTTACTCATTCACAGATTCACCCACAGTTCCCTGATTATCGTCACCATAAAACCATTTATTAAATACTAAATAAGATCCATACATTCCAGGGTAGGCTGATAAATGTTTGACAACCAAATCTCAGGGAGAAATAACCATGCTATAATTTACTGATACCGTTCACTTATTTCTTTGGTCAAAATACTGTGGCCAATTTCCAGCTAACTTAACGCTGAACAGGAGTTGGGAAGAGACGCACACCAGCATGCCTTCCTGCCGTTTCCATCCGGTGGGTGTAACAGACCTAAACTGCAAAGAGTACAAATAGTAATACACAAAGTAATTACAAAGTGGTGGAGTTTGAGTATTATTAGCTTTATCTTAAAGCTAATTAGTTAAAGGATATTCAGTTTGATTTCCTTTTTAATAATGGCTGGCTTAATACCTAGCCTGCAAAATTCCTGAAAATTTAAGTAAGGTATCCGGTGCCCGTGACAGCACAATTCTGGGTGTACGGCTAATTGCATTAGTGTGGTACAGTTACGGTAAAGATTGTCACCTCTTCCGGGAGGTATGTCTACGTTAGGTGCCTTTATTTTCTCGATATCAAAACAATTACTACAGTGCACTGTAGAAATTTCATTTCTCTCCCTCCATGCTTGAGCTCCCTAGGGGCAGCGACTATAATTTGTAACGCGTCTTCTTCACCTAGCACTGTGCCTAGAAGTATAGGGCTCAATAAACAGATATTGGATCTGGCTCCTGGGCTCTAGGAGCCCATAATAATGTGACGATGTACAGAGACATAGGCACCAAACACACAGACAGTTTAATGGACATTCTGAGTAAACGTGAATTAATGGTGAGATCTTTATACTTGCAGAAGGTTTTTAATGAGATGGGAAATAAAAGGGATTATGGATCATTGAGAGTGGATACAGCAGTTCCTTATCAAATCTGTTTAATGATATTCTTTTAATGTTCATGTCTTTAAGAGGCAAAAGCAACACATATTCATTGTAGAAAAAATAGGATGTACAGAAGCATAAGGACATAAAATCCACTTTTATTTAAGAAGATTGACATATTAGGTTAGGACAGTAGTATATGGAAAGATGCCTTATTTCTTTTTTTAAAAGTGGATGTTTGCAGATTGGCATTGGTATAGTAGTTCTGCTCTCCACCATCTTCACAGGCTCAAATTCACTCCCAGCTCAGGGCTTAGCCATCCCGAGAGTGTGGACCCCACTTCCTCATCTTCCAACTCAGCCTCTGCTTTCCTGGGAGCAGGACAGAGGATGGGATGAAGTGGTATAGGGCTATCTCTGTAAGAAAGCATCTCAGAAATTGCTTCATGACATTGGCTTGTAAAAATATAGCCACAAGGTCATGTTTACCTGCAATGGAGTCTGGGAAATGTAGTCGTTATTCTCAGCAGTCATGTGCTCAGCTAAAATTTCTATTAACCATTCAAGAAGGGGAAAACAGATTTTTAGGATCAAGTGTCACAGTTTGATGCAGTGGTTTCCCTTGTTAAATAGGAATTTCTAGGTTGGAAGGTAAGCCCGTTTTGATGGGTTTTTAATGCATATTGATAAGTTACCCTTCAGACATTCCCTACATATTTACATTTGCAGTGATGTATGGGAATAGTGCTTATTCTTACTTGCATATCAATCCACTCCATGTTCACTGTGTGGATTGCTCGTGAGGGTATGCAGTGGAGAAAAGTTGGAGTGATGGACCAGACTTTTATTGTTAGGAGGCTTTCAGCTGCAAGATAGTCTAAAAGAGTGTTGCACTTATTCAAGCGTTACTGAATTAAGGGGAAGGAACTATACAGCGTATACTGGAACCGAGAGTTGGATAATTAAAAACTGAGTTCTACTGAAGAGGAGATTACCGAGGTGCAGTCACTTTTCAGTCACTGGACACAGTGTCTGACACCCACAACCTAAAGGAGGAGAGGCTACTTCAGTCTGTGGTTTCTGGGAACTCAGACCGTGGTCGGCTGCTCGGGGGCAGAACAACATGGCAGAGGGGCCTGGTGGAGCCAAGCTGCTCAGTTCACGGGGGCCCGGAAGCAGAGCGGGGGAGCAGCACCAAGCCGGGGGAGGGAGGGACCATACACAGTACTCAAGGCCGTGCCTGCCTGACCCACCTGGCCACACCCAGCAGTGTGCTATATGCATCTAGGAATTTCCTGATACAGTGAAGCTGGCACATCAGGACTGATGGTCATTGCACTGTAGTTGTAAAAATTTTGAGGCATTAAGAGAAAAGATTAAGTGTAATATGTTCCTTTAGTGTCAGCGGAACGGCTTTTACACATCTGTGTTCATCAACTATGATTTCTTTCCTTCTTCCTTCCTTCCTCCCTCCCTTCCTCCCTTCCTTCCTTCCTTCCTTTGTTCCTTCCTACCTTCATGCCTTTCTTCCTTCCTTTCTTCCATTTCTCTTTTTGAGATGGTCTTGCTTATAGTATAGGCTGGCCTTGAGCTTGGTTATGTATCCCAGGCTGGCCTTGAACTCATGGCAATCCTCCTGCCTCAGCCTCCTGAGTGCTGGGATGACAGATGTGCACCACTGTGCCTGGCCATCAACTATGATTTTCCGAGCACTATCCCAGGTGCGTTGTACACATTCTCTCATTGAATTCCCATAGCGGTCTGGGTGAGCATATATTTTTTTCGCACATTCATAGTTCACAAAAGATGAAGTAAAGGCCGAGGAGAGCTCAGGGTAGGAGCGGAGGCAGAATTGCAGCCCACTCTCTTGGATTTACAATTCTGCTCTCTCCTCTTCTACTCTTAAGAGCAAACTGACGGGACTGGGGGAGAGCACAGCGGTAGGGCACACGCTTGTCACACTTCAGGCCTGGCATTCAGTCCCGCTTAAAGAAACGAACTGATAACAGATTTGGTATGGAGATCAGTTCTGCTGCGGCACTTACACCAACTCGAGGTTATGAGACACTATTAAGTACTTCAGCATTATAAACACACAGAACAAAGAAACGAGGTGATGTGAAGGGGAGGAGGAACCTCACGGATTTTGGTTTCTTCCAGGCGCTTCCTGCATGTGCTAGCTGCCATCCCTTCACCTCTCACAGCATTTGCCTCAAGGGTAGTGTTTTTCCTGTGTTACCATAGGACAGTTCCATTTCGTCAGGGCTGTCTCCTGTTTTATGTCTGCCACCACTTATATCTTTGGTGCCAGGTACCAGATTTCCCACATCTTTCAGTTTCCAGGACCTAGAAAAATGAGTGGAACTGGAACATAGCAAGTGTTCAAGGGCTGGGGATTTAGCTCAGAGGCACAGCGCCTGCCTGGCAAGCGCAAGGTCGTGAGTTCGATTCCCAGTACCGGAAAAAAACAAAACAAACAAACAAACAAACAAGTGTTCAAATAATTTTTGCTGGACGAATTACACAGTAATTTATTTCATGTGATGTAACTGCTGAAAGAGGAATTGTATCAATTTATTATGATGCCAAATTTTGAGAGGTACACAGTAAGAATACACTGGTATGAAATTATGGTTGGCCATGGTTATAAAGAGAATGTTTACGAGGTAGCGGAGCTTGTGAATAATATTGGGTGTCTACAACGTGCCAGGCTGCTTGGAGCGTTTAATATTTTACTTACTTATTCAATTCTTATAAAAACCTTACCTCTATTTCGAGAATGGAAGAACCAGGACATAACCAGAGGCCGTTTGGCCGTGAAGTTTCTGTTCGGCTATTTCACGCTGCCTTTCATTATTGTCGTTTATTTGTTTTCGTCCCCTGGACTTCATAATACTATCTGCTAACGAAGACTCTTCGGTCCTTTTTCCACGGCTTTGTCTGCTCACCAGAACTTGTCTTCCACCAAAGGAGGGGGCATAAGTATCTTAGGAAGTTGCTGCCTTTATACTTAAGCAATCTCCAACGCAGATGAGTTATTTGCTGTCACCATGTTTAACTTTCTCACCCAAATAACCAGGAACTCCTATTTTAGAATATTTTTCCCCTAAAAAAAAATCCAGTTGTATTCTCCAGTGGACTCCTGCGCCAGGGCGTTTCCGGGGCGCAGACACGAGCGCCTTTGCGGACCCGCTTCCCCTCTTCGCTTCCCTCCCCTCCCCTCCCTCCTCCTTCCCCCTCCTCTCCCCCTCCAGTTTTCTCACCGGCGAAACTACATTTCCCAGAAGCCTCTTCGCCGTCGCGGCCGCCCTTGGCGGCGTGGGCGGGGGGACCCGTAGACGCTCCGCGGAGCTGCGCGCGGCGCTGGGCGGACGGGGAGACGCGCGGCCCTCGCTCGCCGCGATGGCTCGGAGGCAGGACGAGCCCCGAGCGGCCGCGCCCTTGGTGGCGGAAGGCAAGGCCGGCGCGGAGGCTAAGCTCATTCTGTACCACTGGACGCACTCCTTCAGCTCCCAAAAGGTGAGGCCCG